CCGCCGGACTCGTCGAGTGTGCGTGTGCATTGCAGGGCGAGAAGAGGCCTGAGTTAGGAGAAAGGGCATCCAGACCTGGGAAAGGGCTTTATAGGTTTACATCTGGAGAGAGGAATGTTCCAGAATGAGGGGCCTGTGTTGGGATCTGCGTGAGCCAAGCCATCCCTTGTCAGAACTCGTGGCAGGAGATGCTCGGGGCCGTACAAAACCCTTGTCCGGAGACTTGGGTAATCAGACCCTCAGCCCTGGAAACCGACTGGAGTGAGGGTAGGGATTGTGGGAAGTGTAAAAGGTGACCAGGAAAAGACTAGAACCCGTGGAGAATGTGGTTGAATCACATGGGAGCCACATCTTAAGATGGAAGGCCTTCTGGAGTGGAACACATCAGCATGGGATCCATTTACAGATGAGAAATGAGAGGCGAGGGAATGGGTAGAGATGGATCTCAAGTTGCCTGCAAAAGTGGATAATGCACCCACTTAGTAATTTTTCACCCCACACCTTCACGCTGTCCGGAGACTCAGGAAGTCTTCACTCATTGGTGGGAATGAGGGATAGATGAAACTAGAAGCTTCTTCCCAGTCCCCCCGCCCCTTACTCACCTGAGTCGCTGAGGAGTTAGTTCTGCGAGATTCATGGCTGGGCAGCAGTGATGTGGACACCTCACTTGGGGCTGACTCACTGCTGACTCTTAATTAGGTTTCCAAGGTTGTAAATGACATGGGCGGAGTTCACTTAACTTTCTCCCGCTGAGTGGATTTGAACCGCTAGAGAGGCTAGGCCATTGAATGGTTACCAAGGCAGCTCCCCAGGGTCTCCACCATTAAAGCTTACAGTGTGGGTGATTGTGACCTCAAGGCCTTGATGTCCTGTATTGGTTTTTCTTTTTCTTTTAGGGATGTACACTTATTGGAAACTTTAATATGTCGTGTTTTTAAATGTTCCTTAGCAGGGCCAGGTGTCTCCACCTCGCTGGTGACTTGGTAAGAGGAAAGCAGGAAGTGGTACCTTGTCCTCTCTTAACCCCATGCAGCACACCATTGCTGCATGCTTTTACTTTTAGTATTGAGGCTTATAAGGTCTGATGTTGCTATTAGGTGCCATCGAGTAGAGTACAACTCATAGCGATCCTATGAACAAAAGATCAGAATGTCCTATCCTGCACCATGCTCACACTTCTTCACAACATTACAGAAAATTGTGTCTGTGTGTCTGAATATTCATGTGAGCAGACACCGGAAGGCGCTTTGGTGGCACACTAGTTAAGCATCTTGCTGCTAACCACAAAGTCAACAGTTCAAACTCATTAGCCACTCCAGAGATAGGGCAGCTGTTTTGGTAAAGACTACAGCCCCCAGAGACTCTGGTGTAGTTCTTCTCTGTCCAGTAGTCACTGTGACTCGGAGTCATCTTCACAACCATGTGCCCAGAGGGCCTAGCTGCATTCTTTTACCTGCCATGCTTGCAGCAGGTTAAGTTTTTTGAAAGTCAAGTTTTTTGAAAGTCTGCCTCCTGAAATAATGGACCTGCCATGCTAGGCATTTGTGTATGAGTGTAGTGCCTTGTGCACCTAGCTAACAGGAGGGCCTTATTTCTGGCTTCCTATCAACAGACTGATTTGGATTTCAGTTTTCTGTATCCATATCTTGGGCCCTGTTGTATGTGAGAACAGCTGCCAGTCCTTACTTACTTCGGAGGAGAAAAAATGTTCCCTCTCCCATTGAGGTTTTCTATTCTCTTACTATGTAGGCAAGAAAGAGGAAGCGAGTTATTAAACACAGCTGGCTTCCCATGAGGCCTTGTATTCCTTTGGTGGCATTTCTTTGCTGCTTCCTCTGAGATACTGTAGCTACACTTTTTCTGAAATCAACTTTTTAAAAAAGTTATCCCCCTTCCCCCTTTGCTTAGAGGAGCTGATTGTTTTGGCAGATTTTAATTTGCTGGTAGAGCTTCAT